CGTCTGTAAATAATTGCATCAGGACATGGACATGAATACTTGGTCCTGAAGTTATGAAAAATGAGAACAAAATATGCCATTTGTTTACCAAGTTTGTAAAGCTTAGTATACAAGCAGTCCAATTAATTTATTAGTCACAATATGCCGTGTTTCCCAGCCCAAAATATTTGGCCGCCCGTAGGCCAAGCCTTGCAATGGGCTAGCCCGGGTCGAAAAAAGGGCTGACCCGGCCCAGCCCAAGCCCAAGGAAGTATAGCCCAGGCTAACCCAACGAGCCCATCGGGCCCCCGCACAGGTGAACAGCCATAAAAGAGATGAATGTAGATCTATTAATACTAGATTAAAATACAGAATTGCCAATGAGAACAGATGGTGCTTGAAATAGGAGATAAACACAACACAGTGAGAAATAGTAGTGATTATTTTCAATAGAAAGAGTGAATTTTATATGGACTGCCAACTTCGGAGGCACTCGGTTGACTCAATTGTTTCAGCATTGAGAGAGTGACGGGAGTCAGAAATAGTCCTCTTGCCTCCTGAGAATACGCGTTCAGGTTCGGAAGACATGGCAGGAATTGATAGGAGGGTAATTGCCCATGCCGCAAGTGTTGGGTATTCGCTTTGTTGACGATTCTCCTGCCAGCAACTGGAAGGATTTTAGCAACATAGGTGTGCGAAATAGGAAGGAGGGAGATACCGAAAAGATCTGATATTTCATTGGGTGGCAAGACGAGATCTGAACTTTCAAACCTCCAAACTGCGCTACAATCTGAGAGCACATGAATCCAATATGGATTAGTTCTACACTAAACATTCTAGATATAGAGATGGTTGGGTTGGATCTTACAGCTTGTAGTAACGCGCTTCCGGAAAGCCATGTGCTCGGACAATCGTTTCCCCGGTGATACGGATTGCAAGACACCATACAAACCTTAAAGATAGGGCTAATCCTTGGCCGGGCCCGCCGGGCCGCCCGGGCTTGTCCCCCCCTCAGCCCGGCCCAGCCCAAGGAAGCCCATGAGTGAGCCCAGCCCAATGAGCCCGACCCAGCCCAACGAATAGCCCGGGCTAGCCCAACGAAGGCCTCTACCCATTGCAAGGCTTGCCGTAGGCATGTAAACTTTGTAAAGGAGGGAGGAAATAAGGTTAAAGAGATGATCATGGCCTTAAAAAAAGACAGGTCCTCATGTTCTATCTTGCTAGAGCCCCGGGGATACCCATGCAGTAATCTGCGCTGCATTTATCCAACTTCCATTGGGGAATGGTAGACACCAAGCAGGTTTAGATACCCCCAACCTTTGTGGACTGGCCTTTCAATTTGAGTGCCAACAGGGTCGCCTTATGCCAGGCTGTTTTGCTTTAGATTGTTCTTGCCTCGCAAAATCCCAACCTAGAGGGCCTTAATTGGCTGTCGTTAGCCAGGAATACTGAAAGCACTGCGGTTGTACCATATCCCTAGGCACGAGATATCACTCGGCGCCAGGTGACGAATAGGTGTTGTAACCCCTGTTTGAAGTTGTACTTCTTGCTTGATTTATGCTCTACCGGAGGGCCATCAGGCCCTATTTATGCTACCGGATAGTGCGCCACAATCTCCTACAGTCCGTCCGGTCCTCACCTTCCCAGGCGTGGTTCGTCCTAGCACTCTCAAACCGACGGACCATGAGCTGTAGTCCGTCCCGTCCGACCCCGTAGACGGACGGACTGGACGACTGGGAACACTGTATTTATGTATACATATATAGAGAGTGATTGAGAATAATCGAGCAATGCCCCTGATGGAGCAATGCGAGCAGATCATTATGGTCCTGCTCGAGCATAATCTGATCGATTGACCCTTATATCGAGGGTGATCGAGCATGATCTGCTCGAGTAAAACTCCATCATGATCTGATCGTGGCCAGCAATAGCCAACCTATTCTTCACGACTAGCAGTCACTTCTCACCATGGAAATCGAGATGCAGGGGGTCGCGGATCCTATCGCCTCGGACGACGCCATAGGTCTGGAGACCATCCTGTGGGTACCGGTGGTTTACTTGATCAATTGGCTGGGGGAACGTTGTGTTGCCAAAGTCAGTGATCGAGAGGTTACCGCCTAGGAAACAAAAGTAATAGTCAGCTACAACTGAAGACGAGACAGGAGATGGAAAACGCAACAAGAGCTGAAAGAGGCGAGAGATGGAGGAGATGGAGACAAAGATATAGAAAAAGACGTACCAATGTATACCTTGTTTCCTTTAAACGCAGACCAATCAATCTTCTTGTCGTACAGCTCGATCAGGGCCCAGCCAGACTGTGACAGAGCGGCTTTTCCAAATAAAAACGCGGCCTGGCCTAGGCATCTGACGACTTTGCCTGGGAATATGCGGACTTTACATGGGCACCTGGCGGCTCTGTTCTGGGTTGCGTCAGGACTTGACCCGCCGGTTGCCTGGGCGCCGCGGGTTTTGGCGGCTGCTCAGAACTTTGACCGGACTGACCCAGGCTTTTCATAACCATGGCCGGACTGACCGGACTGCCGACCCTTGGTTACGACCACAGTCCGGACTGGCCGCTCGGGATCACTGCCGAGACCCCAATCTTCTCAGAGTGAAGCACGAAGCCAATGACACGCTGGTCAAGGGTGGTACGGCGCTTAGTGACCGTCGTGGATCGCATTCACCTCCTTGATCTTTGTCGCCTTCGCCAACGACTCCACGTACTCCTTGTGCCTCTGTGTGACCGCCATGTTCTCTCCCTCGACAGTTTCCCCCAGCATGGCAAGCACGTCGTTCCAGGCTTCGATTAAGCGGAGGTCACCGATGGTGCTCATCACGGCCCTGACGGCATTGTTGTAGCCCATGTTACCCAGTGTGGGGAACTAATCACGAGTACGGCTTGTGTTCCTACGTGTCATGTGTGTTGGTGCAGGAAGGAGGGGGACGGGCGACATGGGCGCGGGTAAGGATATCGGGGGCTTGTCATCTTTGCCGAGGCGGAAGCAAAGAGCGGCTGTACCCTCGAGGTTTGGGTACTTGAGGGGTGCAATGGAGAGACCGAGAGCTGTAATGAAGGGCTTTCGGAGGGCGGGAACCTCGTCGAGGAGGGGATCGAACGAGTGACTACCGACTCGACAAAGGGCACCTCGATGGTGGCAGTGAACACAAGAACTCAGTCCGTCCGTGCTTGGGTGCGGACCGGACGGACAGCAGTGCATGGGTGGATGCCCGGGATAGACGGGCATCTTGACGTCCGTCCAGACCACTGCCCAGGACGGACGGGAAGCCCCGCAGGTTTCTCAGGGGGCGGGGTATGCCAGGTGTCTACCAGTGACGGCGGATGACGGCCGGGCCCTGCAGGTGATGGCCAGATCCTGCGGGTAATTGCCGGGGCCTGCAGATAACCACCGGAAGATGCCATTTGTTCTAAGACTGCGGCGCCCGGGTGTCAACCCTTTGGACGGCCATCTTTATGAAAGAAGGACGCCATGCCTGCCGTCCTCGCCCACCCCGGACGGTTGGGTATCGAGCGCTCAGTTGAGTGCTCCCGGTGGTGGGCTAGGGAGCGTTCGGGGGCTGTTGTGCCTAGCCACAACCTTGGCACGTGTACCGCAACTGGATTTAAGCACAAGTATCATAGAAATGACAGGAAGGAAAAAAGAAGCTAGGCAGCGCGGGGAAAAAATGTGAAGAGACAAAGTTTTCCCCGCCCTGTGTCCAGGATGCAGCGAAATTGCTATTGTCGGGATTCTTATCTTGTTTTTGAATGATATGTTTCTTAGTGATGATGATGATGACAAGACCGGCCCCCTCTACTCGAGTACCCTTTTAAATACCCCAATTATCCTCTGAAAAAATAACTGGATTTTTTTAGATATAGAAATAACTCGAAATACGGGGTATGATACTGACGAATATATTCATTCGGGACTCCGAGTCCGCCTGCATGGCCCCTAGCGCTAGAAAGGGCCTGGAGGGGTTTTTTTTCCCCCTCTCTTTTTTTTCACGGGCAAAGTTTTGTGTTCCCGTCTCATGTTTCTGCTTTTTTTCACCCAATCGGGTCGCATCCCACCCGTATTTAATTCCCGGTCGGGTTGTTTCAAGTGTCGTGATCGCGAAGAGCCTCAACACCCTTAGCGAAGCACGCAACCACGGCATTCGCTTAGACACCCACCCGATCCAGCCCTACGGACGACACAAAAGCTTTGTGGGTTCGGGGTCGGTGATTCTCGGGGTGGCGCGGTATCCATGTGTCTCCGTAGTCTTGCCTCGGATGTTTACGGGGGGTCGCCTCTGGGAATGCAAATGGCTACGATGCTATACTATACACAAACGCAATAGGGCAAGGGTTAGGCATCCTGGTGCCATCATGCATAGTGCGATGCCAATATCATACAAGTGTTCAAAAGTCAACCATATTAAGGGCGTGGCCAACTTTCCACTATCAACCCCAACTTGATTTTTCCTGGTGCCAACTAGAGCAGAAAAGGAGAGCCGAAGAAGCGAAATTTGGAGCGTGTGCCACATGTCAGGTTAGGGTTTCGAAAAAAACATCGGGTTTGGTGGGAGCAGGAAAGAGCAGAATTTCTACAAGCCACTGTCGAACTCCACAAGCCACTGTCGAATTACGCAAATGACAGTTGGATTCTGCAAGCAATGGCAGGATTCAACAATAGGCCCAGTGTGCAACATTCCAAATGGGCCCGGAATGTCTCACAAGCACAGGGGTAACACCACAAAACACCGCATCATACCGGCAGCGTTGTCTTAAGTGGCGAGAACTTCTGCACCATTGTGCCCAGTCAGCAACCCTTACAGTGCTAGGCAGCTGAATAGAGGGGCGTCCTTCTCTGGCCCCAAGCCCACCCTCTTTTCCCCTTCCCAACCAGCAGGCCGACCGTAGAAACGGAACGGTACCGGCAACCAATGTTGCAATGAAGGGGGGGTTGGATCAAAAAACGATCGAGGGGGTGGAACACGCTTTTTCGAACTGGGGGATTATGAGAAAGAACCCCTTCTAACAAAAACAATAAACAATGACATTTGAAGCAAGTTGAAAGTAAAGAAACAAATAAAATTATGACAAAAGAAGCAGAAAATTCCTAAAACATCCCACAAATATTCTTTGGTAGATTCTTGGATAATTTACTCCTCTTTCACTGCTTCTGAGCAACGAATATTTCCTGCTGTTTTTGCTAAGATATTATAGAACCCCCCCTTCTATCCCAATTTTCAGAATCCCCAATTCAATCCCCCCCCCTTCTAACCCCCCGAGTTCGATCACCGAAGCCCTTCTTTGCAACATTGCCGGCAAGGGGTGTGTGGTGCTGGTAAGTATGGTTGTACAGTATTGTACACATTCTTCTTTCGCTGATCCCTCCCTCATTTTCTCTTTTTTCTTCCCCTCAGGCCTGTAGACTACGGTAGAAGCAGAAAATGTGGTGATAAGGTTGTGATGCTATAAGTATCAAAGTAAGTAATTTCTACTTTTTAGAATCATTTTAACCGATTCACTTCCCCGCCTGACACGCTTCTGGGTCCAGCACGCTACAAACTTTGACCCCGCCTAGATCAAGGCACATTGACTAATAAAAAGATGCTTTTCCTGCCCTCCTTCATCATGAAACTCGCAATATTTTAGATATCGTAGATGCTGCTGGTGCTCGGATGCACAGAATGCCGTTTTTTGTTGCTCGGATAAAGATGTCGGAGAGGCGCGGTAGATTGCCGCAACTATGGGATGAAATGATGTATCCGCCGGAAGTAGTGCGGGGGAGTTAAAGGGATTCCGTGGAGCGGAGGCTACGGACGGTGGGAGCCTTTTTATGAAGCCTGTCTTTCTCTTGTTAGCATGGTTAATCATATCATATTATACTAGCTAGAGCGAACTGTCCTCCTCTAGTAGGCGGACTCAAGGCTCCCACCCACCACGGCAGTGTGTTCCATGGGATAGTCATGGAACTGCGCAGAAAGAAGACTCGAGTTGACGAGAGTGGATAACGTATCTGTCGTGATCGATGGAAGGATAGGAGGAAACCTTTGTTGCGATTGGTATATGCTCCTGTCTTTGCCGTTTAGTTAGTTGAGTTGAGCGAGAGAGAGGAGAGAGTGTTGAATACGAAGGAACGAACTTCCCCCACCTACCCCAAAGCGTGCGCTGGCCAGAGCCGCATCCCGATCATCAGTCGGATCATCCTTGTCGTTGTGCAAAACAGAATAGTGGGAAAAGGTGTGGGAGGTAGCAGAAAACCTTCAAAAAAAAAAAAAAAGAAACCACCAAGAATCACCTGTATCCTCATTTGCAAATTCTACTTTTTCAGCACTTTTCTCGCTGAAAAGCATGATAGTTATCTTTTTCTCTTAAATTCGTGAGGATGAGTGTGCCAAGAGCGATAAAAACTTGTTGCCTAAGACATTATCATTCCCAATCGGGCACCACGTATCCTTGATAGTCGAGCGAAAAGCACAAAAGGATGCAATAATAAGGAAAAGGATGTGAAAATAAGGGGAAGGCTTGGAATTACTTTTTGTACCCTTCTATGTACTTAATTGCAATCTACCACTGAATTATTACTCACCTGTTTAGGCCTTGCGAGGGAATCCTCTTAGTGTGAGCAGGGTCCTAAATCAATAGTGGTTCTGGAACTTTGGGTAGGATTTAGCTAGGTTCAAGGTGTGTTCATTATCATTCGACGGAACAACAAATGGTACGGACCATCCATTGAGAAGGTTTGAAAGAGCTTTTAGGTAAATTTAGTTCGAGGGTCGGAATCTTAAGTGACGGGCTATTTGAAGTTATGAAATGCATGAAGGAGACTTGGCTCGGTTGTTAATCCTATCCGTGCCGACTAAAGTACCATCCAGTGAAAACCCACGATGGGTAGATAGGGGGGTGGGAGATAAACCACTAGGAGCTGGTGGCAAAAATCCATCCCGAACCCATCTATCCTATCCAAGGTTTAGGGTTGCGATTGTGTTCTACTGGTGACCCCTGTGGTTCATGACAGTCCGAAGGTTTGGTCTAATTACAGCCTTTGACTGGGTCGAAAAGAACACGGACGGGTGGCCAGCGGGGTATTGTGCAGAATTTCGCCGAATTAGGGTAACAAGGCAATAAGTGAGCGAATGGGAGGCAAGTACAGTACCGTGGTACAAGTACAGAACTGGTATTGTACCTATTTGCCACCCCCAGGTTTTAGTAAATAGCAAAGTTATTCAACAAGCGAGGCAAGGGTCCATCCAATCACACCGTTTGCCACCGAGCGGCTCAGTGAGTGATTCTGAGCTGGATGGTTCGTTGAGGGGGTATTCCTCTCCTCCACAGCCCTACCCATAGGAGGATTAAATATCACAAAGTCCACGGTAAGCCTACTGAGAGCTTTTGGCCACGACAGAGCAATGCCAACAAAGCGCCCTTTCTACTAAGTTCACCGCTCCTCCCCTAACTAACTAGTCTTCGTTTTTATTACTAGCCGGAGCCATTCACGCTCTGCATTTTCACTTCCCCGAATAATTCAGAAAGGATTAGGAACCCAAGGGAATCTGAGTTCGACGCATGGACAAGGCTCCATCAGATTCGGTTGAGTGGTATAAACTCGAAACCGAATTCTTTCAGGATGTCATTAGACACACAAGATATGTGGAGGGACCAAAAAACAGGAACGAGAAAGTGGAGGAGGAGTGGAGGAATTGTGGAGAACTCGGCAGGGGAGGTTTCGGTGTCGTCAATAAGCAGATCCGGGAGACTACAGGTCATTGTCGTGCGGTAAAGGCGATTGATAAGAGGGTTCCCTACAAGATCGATTATTCTAGGGAGCTCCTTGTGATGTCCATATTAGCAAAGGTTTGTGTTTTCACTCCAGAGGGACACCGCCCCAGTTTACCACCGCTCCTGGTTATTTTTGTTGAGGCCTAACGGTTAGCTGTTTTAGCGTCCGTCGTTGTTTGTGGAGTTCCTTGGATGGTTCGAGGGAAACGAGACTCTCTATATCGCAATGGAATATCTCCCGAAGGGCGATCTCACTAAGCATATCGGCACACCGCTACAGCAAGAGACCGTTCAAAGTATTTCAAAGCAGATACTCGAGGGTCTCAAAGTTATGCATCAACATGGGATAGCTCATCGGGATCTAAAGCCTGCGGTATAATCCCTACCACAAAACACCTCGCTTGACCGAGTCGCGTCGCGATATACTGACGGATGCATAGAATATTTTTTTGGTTCGCATGTCTCCTGTCTGGGTCAAGTTAGGAGATTTCGGAATATCAAAGCGGATCCTAGCTCATGACACTACAACCCTCCACACCCAAGTATCAACTCAAGTCTACGGCGCCCCCGAGGTCCTAGGGCTGGATTCCAATAGCGAGACCTCGGATTATACGAATTCTGTTGATATTTGGTCACTCGGATGTGTGATATATGAACTACTTGTCGGAGCAAGATTATTTGTCTCGGAGGGTCAAGTATCCCGTTACTACTTCGGGAAATTCCCCTTTCCCGAAGATAAACTGAAAGCGCTATCACCCCCAACCGATGATACCGGAATTTCATTCCTGGAGTCTATGCTTGTAATACAACCTGAAGATCGCCCTACCGCCGTTGGTGCGCTGAGGCATGAATGGTTGGTGGGTGTTACATGTCATAGTGAGGACGATGGGGACGATCAAGATGAAACGACACACGGTCGAGATGAGAGAACCGGGGGCGACGGGGGCGAAAGCGGGATAGCTACCCATGCCAAATGGAAAGAAAGAGGAAGCGAAAGAAACCCGATAACACAGCACGGCACAAAGTGCACCCGAGAGGATGTGGTTTTAGGGGCGAATCCGAGGTCTCAAGGAGGTAGTGATCCTAATATCCCAAAATGTGCAATTGGTACTTCCGTGATCACACCACCAGATATAGTCTCCGCTGAGAGTTCACTGGAGACGGGGACCCTGCATTCAGAGTTGACCCCCCGCAGTTTCCAGGCGACAAGTTCCAAGGGCGCCAAGTGCCACGAGGTGCCGAGGAAAGATTGGATGCACCATATTCCTCAAATATGCCCCCAAGGTAGCACACCGAAAACCCAACTCAGCTTAGAGATGAGACTAGTTGCTAACGAGAAATGGTTGCGGGCTCCTAGACCCCCCGCAAGTGATCCCCCATCGCCAGACCTTCCCGGCAGAAACAGTCTCCAATCGACCCCGGGAACAAATGGCCCAATCAAACACAAATCCCCCGATCCCACCCCCGATAAGGCCACTGCAAGAATTATCTGCTGCCAAATCTACCCTACCCAGCAGAACAGGTTCGGGTCGGGCGATTCGGAAACTTCAGAGGAGGAAGTCTCGCAAAATACCATCCCGAATACCATCGAAAGGGGGGAATAGTAGAAACCATGACACAGCCACCAATACAAGGCAAACCCCCAATGCCGAGCGAAACCTTATTGCATGACGGGACCCTGATACCGGACACAATCCTAATGTTGGCTGGAACACTGAGCAGAATCCTAGTACTGGCCGGAATTTTAATGCTAGCTGGAATCCTAAGCGGAACCTTAACCTTGGTTGAGACACAAGCACCAAATGGCACCAGCGACGGAGGCAGAGACATACCGGAAACCTGAGGAATTGCATATCAGGGGGGACAGAATCGTGAATTTGCATGAAAATTCGGGCTAGGTAGTAGAAGGATACGCTGTGGTTCTACTTCCATTGTACCTATATTTATTGTGTCAAATTTGGGCTCATGGCGCCCAAAAGGGATTCGATCGGTTGTGAGATTTTAGATCATCTGTTAGGAGTGCATAGCATATGGTATGTGATTGGAGCGAGATTTCTAGATTCTGGCTATTAGAGTTATTTCTATGCTGGGGGGGGGGGCGGAGTCGCAAGATTTTCGGACAAACATCGTTTAGATATATTGAAATTCCATTGGTCAAATTCGAGCGATACCTTTATTATCAGTAAGGGTGGTGTTGTCATTCCCTGGCCTGCCTCTGACCTCTTCACCGAGAACTCGATCAAAAAACCATTATACTCCTGTATCTCGCCTCCCGAGACCTTTTGACGGGGTGAGCATATATTTCCCAAGTTCTTACGCGGAGGAATAGGTCGTTCTATACCGACCACGGCATCGGGTATGTGCGATTGCAAGCCACGAACCCGGTTGAACTGTGCGCCTGGGATAATGGTCCAAAGTTCACTTCTCTGGAAAAGGGCGGAAAACATAGCGAATGGTACCTTCCGAAAAGGGGAAGAAGAAAACACCGTAGCTTACAGAATGGGAAAAATCCAATGACATGTGCGTTTGGTGTTTGA